ATAAACCCGTGGATCAGGCAGTGCCCAAGCATAACGAAGATTGCGTCAATTGCACAGCAACCAAATTATTTTTTTTTTCAAATTTGAATATTCTTTACAATTAATGAAGTATGCTAAGAATCAAATTAAAGAATTTTCTTGACAATAGAAAAAAATTGTCTGAGAATTCTTATGGTCAGTAATTTTGTTCAAAGTTGAGAAATAAAAAAAAATCTGAGAAAAAATTGAGTTGAGCACTTTTTTGTCCGAGAATTGTTTTATGGTCACAAATCCTTGCCACTGACGTCTATATTTTGTACATCAGTCAAAAACTGACAAGCTAGACTGGCATTACAAAAAAATGATATATCGGCAGATTTAAAAATTCAAAAATGAAGGGGTAATATATTACAGTCAAACCAACTCTACATATTAATAGTATGTTTTACTATTATATATAAAATCAGTTACATCCTTTAAAATATTTATTTTGAGGCTATGGAATCCCTTCCTGTTTACATAATCAGGTTCATTTACTGATAGAGTTTGAATTCTTATCTGGGTCCCTTTAATGCAACTCTCAACTTTTGGAAGACCTGTCCATGAAATAATTGGATTTTTTTCGACTTTAGAATTATACAAGGGCAGTAATTAAAATTTTGAAGGTTATTTCATTTGTATGGCTTAAATATTGGAAAACAAATATTTACTTATCTCTTGTTGGAACAACCCAAAATGTATGTTCTTTTATAACAATACCTTAAATTCATGAAAAACTCAAATAGCAATTAAAGGTATCATTAAAAAAATACATGTATTTAATTTTTTTTTCCCTCTTGAATTGCCATTATTGATGATTTTCTGATCAAAAAAAAAAAAATAAAATAAAAAACAAACAAACAAACAAAACCAAGCCCATTTAAGTTGCTTTTTTAAAACATAGCAGTAAAAACATATAAAGATAAATAAATGCTGGAAATTTGAAAAAAGTAATAAAGATTTTAATAATCAGAAGTAATCCTTTAAAATGTATTCCATGATTTTTAATTAGTGTGTATTTTGCGCTAAGTATTAATATCTCATTACATTTTGATGCCATGTACACGTGGGGTATTTAAAAAAAAAACTTGCACATACATGTACCTCGCTAAAAAATTGTTTTGTATTATTTTTTCACCAAATTATAGGTCTTACCTGCTATTCTTTTGGAGCCTTTCTTGACTTTGGTCGCTATTTCACCTGTGGGAAATGTTTATATCAACTTATCAAGGATGGTCAGAAGGTTCTTTTATTGATGGATGGACACAAATCTCGTACTTCTGTTACAGTAGGACTTGTACAGTAGGCAGGAGACAGGAATATCATATTGTTTATACTTCCTGCTCATACTAGTCACATTTTACAACCGCTGGATATTGACTGTTATGGACCTATGCAGAAAATCCGGAGAAAAGAAGCAAAAGAATGATTACAGAATGTTCTTTAAGCTAAAGCAAGAGCCTGTAGGGATGCAAAGAGAGAGAGAGTCTCTGAAAAGAAAGAGAGTAAACCAGTGAGTAAGATCATCTCTGGACACTGTATTACAGACTACATCATAATAGATCAGATGAAAAAAATGAAAATTAGCAAAATGGTAAAGGAAAAGTCAAGGAAAAGGCATCAGATGATGATCAAGGGGCATCCGCAAGTGGTTCAGGTTCCAAAAGGAAGCAAACTAAATTGCCTGTTGTGGAAGACGATAGTGACACAGAGGAGGAGATATCGGAAAAGGACCTTTGTTGTGTATGTGGAAAGTTCAGGCCAGAAAAAATTCGAAAAATGACATCTTCACAAAATGGGCCCAGTGTGATGGCATGAGGAATAGGATGCTATGAAGCATTGGACATACCTGTAATACTGTTGCAGGACACGGGTTGTCCGCATGACAAATTCCTCTTCCCATATTTCATTGAGGATTGACAGTGACGAAATCAAATGTTGAATTAACAATCGTTGCGAATAATTTACATAATTGAACAAAAAAAATAAATCTTAATTTCATTTCCATTAAAATTTGTTTTGGTTAGCCTTCCTATTTGCTTGCTTATTGATCGATGACGTAACCGTCGAAATTGGGACATGGTAATGGTGGCGCCCATTGTTTATGTGTCACTTTTGAATTCATCACCAGTAGAAGTTAATAAAACAAACTGGTCACATCTTTACATAGAAAAGAACACAATTTGAATGATGTATTTTCCGCTCAACTAACTTTTACATAAAATAAAATATTGCAACACGTTGATAGACCTTCGAAGTATTGGAACACGAGGATTGGATGATATTACATTTATTTGTGGATGGTCTGCAGGGGATGATTACTCCTTTTAGGCACTTAATTCTAACTCTAGAATTTTTCATCTTTTCACGATTCTTTTTTATGCCCCAGGATCGATAGATCGAGGACGCATACTGTTTTTGTTCTGACTGTCTATCTTATCAATGATCTTGTGACTTTAACTGACCTATATGCTAAAATTAGCCTTTTTGAAACTTCGCCATTACGTTTGAACCATAGGAGATAAAGATTTTATAATTAGTATGCATACTCCACTAATTCAATTTTTTCAAATGACACTAAGGTCAATGACCTTGTGCCCTTGACTAAGAGCTATATGCTATAAATAGCTGTTTGTCTGCAAACTTGAACCTTCGCCATAACTTTTAAACCATGAAAGATAAAGACTTCATAGTTGGTATGAATACTCCACTAATTAAGTTCTTTCATAGGACACCAAGTTCAGTGACCTTGACTGTGACCTATATGCTAAACAAATAGTTTTTTCGAACTTTGTTGCCGCCAGGCACATAGTGTTTTTATCCCGGTAAATGTATGAAAATATCTTCACCTTTTGCATAGTAACATTTAATGATAAATATATATCTATAATCCAAAGGTCTGACATAGTTATATAATTAAAGGTCATTCAAATAAGGTCAAGATTTCTTCATATAAGGTAATTTTTGTTGGGGTCTTAAGCTTATTACATTTAAACAATACAAATGTTGAAAAAAATATTAAAAGATCATTGTCTTAATTGGCCAGTAATTTCTATCTAGATAAAAAAATAAAATTATTAGAAACTAACCTATAAAATGAAACAAGAACACCGCTAAGCGGAGCATCCCCTCGCGATAGGTACTTCACCAGAACAGTTTGGGCAACGCGGTTTGGTCATTTAACGGCGCCCCCCGCGGGGTATTAATTCCTTCAGCGATACACCATCGCGGTGCTGGTAACAGACCAGCTTTACCGCGGCGGTGTTAACTATCGTTCTTCATCACCTCAGATATTTTATCTATTATACAATGATTTAAGTATAGATTCGTCACGAGTCTCGTAACGCATGGTCTCCAATAATTCAATTAAGAAATAAACAACAGTGTTAAAAAGTTCTCAAGGAAATAAACTAAGTTCTTCACATGATCAAATCCTGTGAAGCCAGAGGGGCTTGTAGATTAGATCACGTACAAACTAAGTTCATTTCCCAGAGAACTTTTCAACTTACTTGCTTATCACTTATATTTACATTTGAAACGAATAAATTCCGTTTAAAACTGCATTTATTACACGGGCTGTCGTATTGTTATATTGTGACCCGCAATGATCTAGAAATTGTTTGGTCTTAAAAGTTGACCTCGCTCAAACATTTGATTGATTGATTGTATACTGTTTAACGTCCCTCTCCAGAATATTTCACTGATATGGAGACGTCACCATTGCAGGTGAAGGGCTGCAAATTTAGGCCTATGCTCGGCACTCAGGGCCATTGAGCAGGGAGGGATCTTTATCGTGCCACACCTGCTGTGACACGGGGCCTCGGTTTATACGGTCTCATCCGAAGGACCACCCCATTTAGTCGCCTTTTACGACAAGCAAGGGGTACTGAGGACCTATTCTTACCCGGATCCCCACGGGGATCCAACATTTGAATATTTACGATAATGTTCAGAAGTCCACTTTAGGAATTCTTTTTTTATAATGTAAGAACAATGATCCCTACTGAGAATATTCTTACTATATTACGAGTTCTTAAAATATTTGATGACAAAAGCGGTGATATCTCTTGTTTAGTTGTTTTAGTTTACTTAACTTAAAGGAATTTCGGGTTAAAAAGGTAAGTGCGATTTTAGGCTTATTATTGTATATAAGACATTTTTCACACCGAAGGAAGATCTTCTGAACATCTATTTTTGAATATTATAAAATTGAAGCGAATAGAGTTTATTTATCAGGTAAGATTAATTTAACGATACCTAGAATTGAACGTATACACTTGTTTAATTTTTAAATCAAATATATCTTCTTAATCCACCATGACCCACTCATATGTCTCTTTTTTTTAATAGCTGGAACTGTCAGTTGAATCTCACTTGTAATGTGTTCAGTTGAATAGATTATAATCATGTAACACTTCCTGTCTGCTTTAACTTTTGCTAGTATATATATATATAAGAGTTTTAAAATACACAGACTAGACCGAATGCAAAACATTGTCCGTTGAGTGGCTTTGGTCAATGTGCAATGTAACTATTCTCATTAAATTAATATAATACATGATTATGTTCATTTTTCAATAAAAGGTAATGCTAGTTGAACAAGTACGAATTACTATAAAATATTATATCATTCAGTATCACAAGCTCAGATATAGACTTAAAATTAAAGTGCATTCCTTTATAAGTCCAATCTTTTATAATTATATTATTAATAAATGAAATGATAAATACATTCCAAAGAATTCAGCAAACAATATACATTTATACAATGTATTAATATTTTCTGGCATAGCTTTAAATCATACATTTACTACATTTGTTCTTCATACATGTAAAATGATGAATTATATTACTCTGTTCCTGTGAATTTATATTTTTCCAATCGTTCTTTCAAAAGTATGAATCCCCGAGGTCACAATTTGGATTGAAGATTAAAACAGAATGCGTCATTAAAGGTGAAAACGTCATCGAAGCAACCAAGATCACTCTCTGGTACAATGGGCATCACAAGCCTGACACTGCCCTTCTTCAGTCTCTTGTCGTTTCGCCTCAGTGACTCGTTTATTTGGCGACGATACTCTCCAGGAATCCTCGGGTTTAAATTCCGGGTAGAAGTCACACACATAGCGCCTCACCACTTGCTTTCTCGCTGGATCCATGGCCAGTTCTTTTTCAGAGAGTTTTCTACCACCATATGAATTGTACTCAATTCGTTAGTTGCCCTCGTCGTACAGTTAGGGGAAAAATCTTTCTTGTCAGATTAACTGCGAAATTTCCCGCCTTCCTTGATTCCTTAATCATGTCTCTAATGACAGTATCTGGGAGTTGATAATACTCGGGAACACCTTAGTAGCTAGCAGCTGTGATTTTCCTGACCACATAGACAGGAATGTTTTCCTGTTGTAATACATGTATACGAGGGTCTCAAAAAAAAGCAAAGAGAGAAAAATTCTGAGAGGGATGTTAAAGTGGACAATTATCTAGTTAAAAATCATCGGGGAGTGCCTAGAGCATCTTGATGGAGGGGGGGGGGGGGGGCGTAAATCAAATTATTTCAATTACTAAGTATCAGAGATGACATTTTTAATTCATAAAGACCGTCTCAGAATACGCAAGATTATATCATCTGACAATGATATACAAAGTAGAACTTACTGAAGCGAATCTATCGAAGCGAACCGCATTTTCTTACTTGAGTACTGACAAGTCGTACATAAAATATCAAGATTTTTAAGAGAAAAATTCACCGATTAACTTCAAAATGATTAAGGTTTGCCCTTTTACAAAGCCAAATAAGTATGAGCAGGCAGAGAATTGATATAGTGCAAAGGTTCCCTTTAAATCTTTCCCACAAGCTGTAACGGACACACAAACACATACGCACCGCAGCGACGCGATACATGTATCACCTCCGCAATTAGTTCTGTGCATGAGGGGTTATTGATTCATTTGGCCAAAAAAATTCTTTCAGACGTAATGAAAGAACTTCTGCATGATACATCATACAGATCTAGCTAGACTACTCTCAAGTTTATGTGGGAATGTCTTTCTATTCAAAAGCAGAGTACCCAAATGACCATTAAGGCATATGGTTTTATATTTATACCTCTAAAACTATTTTTGATACAACTCATTACTGTAAAAGGTCCAACATTTCCACTATTTTACTGAACGGTCAAAAAAATCTATGTATGACCGGACAGGGAGACGTTGGACCTGTCGATGAGATGTTGGACCGCTTACGTGACAAAGTGGGTTGTGTCAGCTCCGTCTTATTTGCATTTTTAAAGTTCCACAGAACTTCCCAGAATGGACCGAGTTTAATCCGCAGTGGGCGTGAACGAAAATTAAATCAAAATATGTCAAAAGATATAATAAAACATTTATTGACTGTTCCCGGGTAAAATGCGTTTGTTTTGTCGACCCTTCGAACCAAAATGTTTTTCTTCGCCCGCTTTGTTTAATGCATGTTCCTCTCGAACTCAGTCAGTAAATGTATATTGTTATATTCCTTAAAAGACACGATTTTATTTCAAAGGCTGCACAATTTAAAACCACCTTACCGATAAGGAAGTATTTTAAAATTTAAAAAAATATAATGAATCTGGCCCCAGACAACATTTTCAAATTAAATATACGTGATTATTAGCGGAGCTCCTCCAATGACTTTTTGAAAATTTAATTCAACATTCACAGCTCTTAATGATCTCGACATTTTAACTGTTTATTAAGAACACTAGGTTCTTAAAATTTCATTTGAACAAACTTGAATCCCCTTTACCTAAGGATACTTTGAGCCAAGTTTGTTTGAAATTGGTCCAGTGGTTCTTGAGAAGAAATCGAAAATGTGGAAAGTTAACGACGACGACGACAGACAACGGATGAATTTTGATCAGAAAAGCTCACTTGAGCCTTCTGCTCAGATGAGCTAAAAAGTTGCTCGGTAGATAGGTGGGAAAATATTTTCAAGAAAAATTCAAGATACTTGATGATTAGGATTTTTAGAAAAACTAAATGATATATCAATTCTTGCAGGTTAAAGAATGTGGGCCATTTTTAGTCAGTTGAAATGAATTTAAAATTTTTTTTAAGATAATCTAATAGAATAACGTAACATGCCAGGTACATTTGCGTCAAGGATGAGGACAGAGACATGAAGAAAACTGTTAGAATAAAGTGTGTAAAGGTTTATCACATCAGATTCTCATTATATCCACCGACGATAAGCATTTGTTTGCAATTTTAATGGTTTGTGTTTATGACAATTCTAACAGCATTGAGTATTTTGAGTTCCGGCCGTCGCTACTACCACTCACGGTTTATAAAAAACAGACAATTCTATGCATATTTTATTTTGTTTAGAAAATAACAAGGGTATATAAAAAATACAAAATTGTTTAAAGATAAAGATTTAATAAAAACAGCACATTCGTTCTATTTTAACTAATTTTTAAATATATTAAACTATTGTAATTAGAGATACCTCAATACGTTAATGTCAATGCTGATTTACTGATAACCTTTTGCACTGATTTATTAGTTTCAAATTTTGATTTTGAGACTCGTAATTCAGAATCACTATGAATTCTAAGTCTTCGCTTTCCTTGAATCTTTGGTACTACAGTTCCATCGGCACAATTCTGCAGAATTGAGTGGAAAATAGAGTTTACGTTCAAGTTCAAATAGGCACTGGTTTCTAAAAACCCAATGTTCATTTCCAAAGCTGCAGTTTGAAAAGCGAAGTTGGTTGAGACTTTTCTTGATGATCCTTTGTCCATTTTATTACCGACTAAAAGGATGTTCGAGAAATGAATTCCTGTCAAAAAAATTTAATAATTAAATCAAGCTGCAAACTACAGACAAAGAAATATCACATTAATTTCTTTAAGAAAAAGCATCCGTTAAATCTTTTTCTTCGATCTACCTTTAATTCTTCGTATCTCGTTGCATAGATTTTGTGCTGTTGAGAAAGAGTTTGGACATTCCACTGAGTAGACAACTACAAAATGGTTACTCTTCTGAATGTACATTTCTCTCATTGCGGGAAATTCTTGTAACCCTGTAGTATCCAAAATTTCCACCATTTTGTGCAGACCATCTGAATAAAATAAAATTGCAGTGTTAAGAAAATGCAACTTAGAATACATTAAAGGTAATAAGTGAGTTGCAAATTTTTATATATTTCGCCAATTTGACAGGGGACGTGGAGACTGGTCCTTTGTAAAAGACCATTTAAACCGACGTACCGTGTCGCAGTAGGTGCTGGTACGAAGAAGACCCTCGCGACTCAAAGGCCGCAAGTGCATGCTGAGTAGAGGAAAAAATTTGCTGCTGTCCACCGACAAGTGGTTGCGTTTTCATAAGAGTGAAAAATTCTCGAGAGTGATGTTAAACAACATACAAACAAAACAAATTTGACACTTACTTGGTAGGCGTACTGTTTCGTGATAGGATTGCCCGAGGGTTGCTGAAGTCCTTTCGGTGAAAACCCCATACATGAACTGATGGATGAGACTTGTCTTTCCAACCTCTCGATCGCCCATAAAAACTATTTGCAAAGGCTTCATAATTTCAGATATATTTCTCATAGTAGTTTTAACAAAACTGTTATTTCTTAGACAAACATGAGACTTCTTATATATCGTGTATTTCTTCAACCTTTATATATGTCTTGTTAATTACCTCAATTCAATTGGACCAGACAAAGGTTGTCAGTCTTATCATGAGAAAAATATATAGTCTTAGCATGGGAGATCAGTAACGTCAATATTTTAATGAATATTCCAATAAGATTTAATTGATATTTAAAGTTAAATTATATCTATGATGAATATATACAAACAATTAGGAACTATGTATAATTCATTCTATTTTGCAACAGAGAAAAAGGTAAAAAAAAAAATTAAAAATGTTGATATCATTTAGAATATATTATTCTAAATTGGCAAAGGCCAATCTAAATAATTCAAAATCCCCTATAAAAAATTCCAGTATAGTACCTAATTGCCCAAAATCAATTAGAAAATTATATATCGATACATGTACAACATTAGCGATAAAGTTGATTGATTGTTTACATCCCATTCGAGGATACTACATTCATAGACAGATGTCACCATACACAGGTGATGGGCTTCAAATTTTGACATGTACTCGACATTAACGGCCTTTGAGCAGTGATGAATCTTTATCGTGTCCTTGTCTACTATTTTTAAGGTCTCATCCGAAGGACTCGGACCTTTTTACTTCAAAGCACCTAGCGCATGCTGAGGGAACAGTTAAGTCAAGTCGAGGCCGAGAATTTAACTCACGATCGCGACCTCCTTCCGAACACGGAGCGAGCGCTCTACTGGCGATTCAGAAGTACATCCCCTTCTCTCCCGTTCCTACACTATCTAAAATTGTAGGGAACAGTATGACATTTAACTCTGGACATAGTCCAGACTTTTTACTACCATTTTTAATTATGATATCAAGAGTATTTTTATATCACTAGGTGGGATTTTTTTAGCAGTATCACAGGGTCTTATGTTGAACTCACAAACATATCCACGTCTAAAGATTAAAAGTCCTAAAACTCAGAATCCCATGGGAGAATGGTGAGATTTTCAATCCCACCAACTATCCCACATTTCTCCCATGGTAAAAAATGTACGGGATATTTTCTCCATGAGGATTTTTTCTTCCACATAATTGTTCAAATGGGATAAATCCCACGGATATTGACAATGAATTATTTTCTCCAATACATTGTTATAGTTGGAATACAAGATGCAAGATTTTATTAATCCAATTTTGGCCCCCGGAGGAGCAAAAAGATTTACAAACAGAAGGAATATATTCTATATATTATGATGAGAGATTTCTCATTGTCATAAATTATACGATATATTCCTGATTTCATAATGTTCAGGAGAATTTGTTTGATTGTCAATATCCGTGGGATTTATCCCATTTGAACAAATTTGTGGGAGAAAAAATCCTAATGGGAAAAATATCCCGAGATTTCTTCTCCCCTGGGAGAATGGTGGGATTCTGAGTTTTAGGACTTTATATCTGTACAAGTGAAGATGTTTGTGAGTTCAACATAAAAACCTGGGATACTACTAGGAAATCCCACCAAATGATATAAAAATATTTTGGATATCACAATAATAAATGCTAGTAAAATGTCTGGACTATGTCGTGTCAAGAGTTGAATGTCGTACTGTTGGCAACTGGGGCTTTCCAATGTGAACACATTGTGTTTTATAGTCTCGTACCATCGTCTCGAGCCGCGATCCGGAGTTGAGAGAGAATCATAAATGTTGGCTGTGGTTTTGCAACGATGTTAGACTTGTACATGCCTCGGAAGATATTATCAGGAGCTGAGGTTTAATCAACTCTCATTGGCACTTATCATTTTTTTTTTGTTCATAATTCAAACAAGAGGACTATGGGCCACATTGCTCACCTGAGCACATTGTCTAGGAAATACAGCAGAAATAATTTCAGCATTGAAAAGTTTACATGGGGGTTGCGGTCTGGAATTTTTAACTACCAACTACCTGATGATGCTTCCATACAACAAATTCCTTTGTGGTTTCTGAGTAAATGACTTTTTCCTATTTATTCATTTGAAACCCCCTCTTGTGACCCAGCCCTACCCCTGGGAGCCCTCATTTGAACCAGTATAACTTTGTACTACCTGAGAATGCCTCCATATCAATATGATTAAACATGACTTTTCTATTCTTGGGAAAAAAATTTCCTTGATATTTCTAGGCAGAACTTTGAGCCCCATTGTGGCCCTCCCTACTGAACCCCTATTTCCCATTCATGACTTAACAAACTTAATCAACACTACGTGAGGATGCTTACATAAAGATATGACCAATCATGGCTTTGTGATTCTTAAAAAGAAGAGTTTGAAAGAAATTCTGATGTATTCATTCCTGTGGAAAACTTTAATCATCCAATGTGGCTCAGCCCCACCCCTGGGGGTCATGATTTTAACAAAATTTAATCTACTGGTACATACCTGAGGATGTTTTCACATAAGTTTCATCTTTACTGGCCCGGTGGTTCTTGAGAAGAAGATTTTCAAAGATTTTTCCTATATATTCCAATATAAATATTTGATCGTCAGTTGTGGCTCCCACCCTACACCCGGGGTCATAATTTTAACAAAATTGAATCTACACTACCTGATGATGCTTCCATATAAGTTCCATTTTACTGGCCCAGTGGTTCTGGAGAATAAAAAAAAATCCTATATATTCCTATGTAAACCCTTGATCGGCCATTGTGGCTGCGCCCTACCCCCCCGGGGGTCATGATTTGAACAAAATTGAATCTACACTACCTGAGAATGATTCCACATGAGTTTCATCTTTCCTGGCCCGGTGGTTCTGGAGAAGATTTTTAAAGATTTTTCCTATCTATTCCTATATAAAACTTTGAACAGCCATTGTGGCCCTGCCCTACCCCCGGAGACCATGATTTGAAGAAACTTAAATCTACACTACCTGAGGATGCTTCCACATGAGTTTCATCTTTCCTGGCCCAATGGTTCAGGAGAAGAATATTTTTAAAAGATGCCATTAATTTTTTCATAATTCATAATTATCCCCCCCCCCTTGGAAGAGGGCTATTTCCATAATTCATATTAATTATCTCCCCTTGGAAGAGGGCAAAACTGAATCCTCTTCACCCAAGGATACTTTGTGGGAAGTTTGCTTGAAATTGGCCCAGTGGTTCTTGGCCGCGACTGACCCAGTCGATAAAATGGGTAGCCACTGTTCCTTCGCCATGCGCTCGGCACTTTGAAGTGAAAGTTGCGGGTCTTTCGGATGAGACCTTAAAAACCGAGGCCCCGTGTCAGCGGCAGGCGTTGGCACGATAAAGATCCCTCACTGCTCATGGCTATGAGTGCCGAGTAAGGGTCAAAATCGGTGACGTCTCCATATGAGTGAAAAATTCTCGAGAGGGACGTTAAACAATATACAATCAATCAATCAATCTTGAGAAGATGATGAAAATGTGCAAAGTTTACAACGACTACAACAACAACAGACAACGGACAAATTTTGATCAGAAAAGCTCACTTGAGCCTTCGGCTGAAAATAATTCGATTGAAACACTTATCTGAAAGGAGAAACAAAGAACGGAAAGGTTGAATACTACAGACATTCATCGTTTTAAAAAAATATTAACAAAGAATAGAAATCAGTGAATAGTGCATAAATCACGGACCCCGGGAATTACAGATATGGATCAATTGCTTAGAAGGAGTAAGCATCATCCGTTGGTCGGTTGTACGTCTGCAGTGCGTCCTATGTATTGATCATGTAGATGGATTATGAGAAAAAGGCATCATAATTTGTTCATGTATGCAACACATTAAAAAAATGACCGAATTAAAGGTAATGTTTGCTAAAGATATAATTATAACGACCATAAAATTTAGGAAAAACTAACTTAAAATGACGTTTTTGAAGTCACTCTAATAAATGTATGTAATTGTAACCTTCCGCTATATGAAAAAGGACCCTAATCAGTACATGCTCTTCAGAAGAAAACGTAGTTTATTATACAATTTTATATTGAGTAAGCCCCTATTTCTATGGTCAATAAAATAATTTGAAATATGTGGCAGACTATGTGGTCTTTTATTTCACTAATTATTTTCCTGTTTATTTAAAAACATATAATTTACGTTACCTACCCAATGTTAAATAAATGTTAAAATTATATGTTAATCTATTATTTATTTTCATTAATTTGGAACAAATATTCACTTGCACAAAACTAATAAGGAAAATGGTTCTTAATGAACTTTGGGATATCGTATGCAAAAATTGAAATATTGCATCTGAAGTTTAAAAACTGTATACATGTATAAAATGGATTTATTATTACAGACATTGTCTTTGAAAACAGGCCTCATGTCTAGTGTTATTGAAGATTTTCTTCATGTACTGA